AGCAAAAGCAACAATACATAACAAACAAAAAAACATCACAAGTTTGATCCCTTGTGGATCTAACTATTTCATGATAAATAAGGAATATAAACCGATATCATTTCTTCATTCTTAATCAGATGTTTTGAGTGGAAAAAAATCATGTTAGGTGGTGTTTTTCAGACCTAATATGGCACGAATCCTAATCAGTATAATAAAGGAGCCCGAGAGGCCGAGACTTTATTAAGGGGATTCATTCGGGGTGAATTCAATAATCTTTGTATTTTATTATCATGAATTATATTATTTTTGACTTGTAATATACATGCATGATAAGTAAAATTGTTGAGCAATATGAACTCCTTGCTTTTGAATGTTGTCCCCCACTAATCTGGATTAGAATTAAAACATCAAAATGAATATTGGGCATCGAATAAAAAAAAATTATATAGAATAAATTGCAATAAATCGTTAATGTTTAATTCTTTTGTCGTAATCCTTGCAGCCTAATAAATGTTGTGTCCATATTTTTGCAACTAGAGCGTATTTAAACTTTCCTCTTTAATTCCCCTAAATAAAGGACTTTTGTTGTACAAGTATAAAAAGAAAATCTAGTGCTGTCTACTGATAAATTCAATGAACACATAATAGTCACTTTCGTTTCGAAAAAGAGAAGTATTGAAAACACATTTAAATTTAGCGAGAATTATTAATTTCATCCTGAACTATTGACAAATGACAACCTTCAGTTAAAATACCCTCTACTTGATTAATTGAACTTAAGTATACCCTATTATGTTATACATATAAATGTGTTATTCACGTGTGTATACAAAAAAAAAAATATTGATATAATATATACATAGATATATTATATGACAAGTATTTTAGAACGGAAAGAGTATTAATATAGAAAGATTCTGCATAGTTTTGAAATGATTGGTATATGATGAATAAAACTTCTGATACACTGCTTTTTTCACATAATTCTTATATTCTCTACCTGTGAATTAAATAAGATATAGTATTTCTTATGATTTTCTTTAACACTCAATCAACCTAGTTTTTTTTTAAAAAAAAATTGTAAAATAAAATATATCAATTTTATTTGTAGTAATTCCATCACTTTTCTTTTTTCTTTTTTAAATGTATGGTATCCTTTTTGAGTATAAAATTTGGACATATCTAAGTTTCAAGAGTCCAAAGCAGTTGCCCTAACAATGCTCTTATCCTTACTAAATTTATTTCATCTCCCAACTAACAAGACAAGAAAATACCATAAATACCCCTATAACCTCATACTAATTAATCCCTGTTATAAAGTTAGCAAGGGTATTTTTGTCAATTTCTTCGTTCACAAGTTCTGTACAATGAACTGAAGATAAGCAATGAATATAGCTAGAGCTATTCTTTCTCTTCTTTGATAATATTATTGAATTTTCTGGGTTTTTTTTCATCCCAAAATCTCTAACTAATTCGCCGGAATCTTCACTTTTCCGACCCCATCTCGCCGGAGAATGGAATTCAGGCAAGTCCAATGAAAAGCGACATGTTTACTCAACCGGAAAATGCAGAAAATCCAATTGGGTCATCCGCCGGAAAATCAAGAATCCGGCGAGTTATTGAGTTCATCTCTTCACTTATATCTCTTTCTTATTCAATCAAAGTTTTCCCTGTGAAATGGCAATCGATACGAAACAAGCTTGAAGAGCTTCTTTCGAGTTTATCTGCCATTGAGAATTGTGACTCCACAGAAAACTACCCTCCACTCTGCAGCTCCCTTCAGGCCATTACAGCTACCCTCAAGAACTGCCATGAACTTTCTCGGCATTGTGTTGAGTTTTCTTATAGTGGGAAACTGCTGATGCAGAGTGATCTTGATATAGTTTCTACAAAATTAGACAATCATATAAGGAGTATTTCTGAGATTTACTCTCTTGGTTTGCTTACTCAAATCTCTGCCATTATTGTTCCAAAGCCCAATCTTGGAGCTTCTCGTGATGATATCAAGTTCTATATTAGGGATTTGTTGTCAAGGGTCAAGATTGGGTCTTCAGAGATGAAGAAACAAGGGTTGATTGCTTTGAATGAAATTATTCAAGAAGATGATAGGTATGTTAAAGTTGCAATTGAAATTGATAATCTTGTTTCTGTGTTAGTGAGTTTTCTTGATTTGCAAGAAGATAATCTTCAAGAAGAAGCAGCTAAGACATTATCTATAATAGCAGGGTTTCAATCTTTTAGAAGTTGTTTAATTTCTGCTGGAATAATTTCCCCTTTGATTAGAGTTTTAGAGTGTGGGATTGGGTTGAGTAAAGAATTTGCCACTAGGTGTTTGCAAAAGCTCACAGAGAACTCAGATAATGCATGGTCAATTTCAGCTCATGGTGGGGTTACTGTTTTGTTGAAGATATGTATAGAGGGTGATTCTTTGGTTAGTTCAGTTTGTGGAGTGTTGAAAAATCTTGTTGGGGTTGAAGAAATCAAGAGGTTTATGATTGAGGAAGGTGCAGTTTCAGTATTTATCAAGCTTGCAAGGTGTAAAGATGAGGTTACACAAATTAGTTCAATTGATTTTCTACAAACTATGGCTTCTGGGGATGAATCAACTAGGCAGATGATCATGAAGGAAGGTGGAATAAGAGCTTTAGCTCGTGTTTTGGATCCGAAATCATCGTCTTCATCTAAAGCAAGGGAAATGTCCTTAAGAGGGATTGTGAATCTGTGTTTTACATCAGTAAATTCAGTGAACATCCTGTTGAGTTATGGATTTATGGATCACATTCTGTATTTTCTTCGACACGGAGATGGTTCTCTTCAAGAATTAGCCTTAAAGGCAGCATTTTGGCTATGTGGAACATCAGATGAAGCCAAGAAACTAATGGGGGATGCTGGATTTATGCCTGAGTTGGTGAAGTTTCTTGATTCAAAGTCATTTGAGGTTAGAGAAATGGCAGCTGAAACACTATCAAGTATGGTGATTGTACCAAGAAACCAAAAGAGATTTGGACAGAATGATGAAAATGTTGGTTTGCTGCTGCAAATGCTTGATCCAGAACTGGCAAATTTTGGCAACAAAAAGCTGTTGCTTTCTATACTCATGTCATTAACAAGTTGCAATAGTGCCAGAAAGAAAATTGCAAACTCAGGGTATCTGATAAACATTGAGAAGTTAGCTGAGGCTGAAGTTTCAGATGCAAAAAAGATTGTCAGAAAATTGTCTTCCAATAGATTCAGAAGCATTCTCAGTGGAATCTGGCATTCATAATCAATGTAATTCAATTTTGTCTTATGCTTAAATATTTTACCAAAACCAAAAAAACAGAAAGGAGATCTTATGTAATATAAACCAAGATAAATGTACTTTATTGTTAAGAAAGAGCTTTTAGAACATCCCCTTTTGCCCTTTTTAGCTTCTAGTCATATAATAAAAAAAATAAAATTACTGAATATTACACATCTTATTCTAATCTTTTCAAATGTATTACTTATCATTTTGTTTTGTGTTATTAAGATGCACATGGGTGAAGGCATGAATTTAGCTATGGGCAATTGATGAGTAGACATCAATATTTTTGTCTTAGTCTTCCAAGGAGCTCAGAGTAGAAAGTGATGGATGAATATGGCCCTCTCTGTATTTTCTTGTCCTTTTCTTATTGCATTGGTTTTATATTAATGAATTTGACATAGCCAACACACTTACATGATGGCTATCCCTTGTAGATGTGATCAAATGTGTAGATACAAATGAGCTTAGGACCACTATGACTTTCATTACACACATAATTTAACAATTTTGAAATAATAGATGAGATTATTCTATCCGACATTTGGTTGAACTTTTGATTTCAGGATTAGAAATAAAAGTTTATCCCAATCAAATTTCAATGTAACTTGTTCACCAACTAAATGGCCCCTTAAGGTACTTGGATCGACTTTAACATCTAACCTAGCTTAATTTCAGTTTATCAACTTATACTCGGAAGAAATATTATATGCTGTTTGTGTCTAATGTTATCTCATCGTGTAAATATTTTTTATTTTTACAATTTCAAGTAAGAAAAAAATGAAACTCGTCTTAACTCTCAAATATTACATTTTCCATGTAGCTGCAAGTCTATGGTTAGTTGCCACTGTGGATCATGGCCTTACTACTCAATCCCCGATAACTAGCAGTGGATTCAATATAGTACAATTTTAAGAGTAGATGAGAGATCAAGCGACCAACATACATTTAACGGTGTAGAGTGATCATCAGTATGAACATGAAACCGCTTAAAAGGACATGAACATGCAGTATGAACATGAAACCGCTTAAAAGGACACGACCTTGAAGAATTCACTTTTAGTTGTAAATGGTTTAATCAATCCTAAGAATGCTTTGTTACATAAAAAGTAGTGTCAAAATTCACCCAAGATTCATGATATGTGTTGTATCCATTTACGATGTGTACCTTTTTTCTCTTACACCCCTCAGGGTAGGTGGGCTTATTGCAATTTGCAGGGGAAGGTAGTATGCTTGTACTTTAAAAAACATGATTTCTTATGAAGAAGAATTGGACCACAAAATGTCAGGCTTTTAAAATTGGGCTTTATGTCATCAACATAACCAAATATCAGTAAGAGTTAGCAATCCAGACAGAGACAAGTTGGACCACATGGTCCACACTGAGCACTGTGAAATTCTGAATTCTGACAATTGGTAAAAAGTAGTCGATACATCAAAAGAGGAGAAAACAGCAAAACATTTCTAGCCCAAAATCAAGGCCTTGAACCTGTCTTAGCCCAACTAGGTAAGCCTTCAATCTCATTATCAAATACCCAAGTAGATCAGTTTTTGAACCAAAAAGTAATGTTTGAATTCTAATAAAGATATTAAGGGGACCGTCCCCACAGATACCGCATAAAACGTAGTTTTGAGAAAAGGTAATAAAACTTAGATATGTTTTGTTACATTTTCTTGCAATTCCAGCTGCTAACTTAGCTAAGATAACAAAATTAAGCAAAGACTGAAAGGCATTACAAACCTTCTTCCTTACACACAAAGAAACAGATACCGGATGCTTGCTTTACACCTAAGTCTCTCCATGTTATCATTCACAAAGCACCATTTCCATAACCATACTAAGACATCGATAAACTATTTACCACAACAATATTCTCAGTCCAAGTTTCTTGGTGATTGTTGAGGAAGTGATCATGATCATTTCTCAATTATTCAGACAATAACCATCACCTTTAGCTAGTTAAAAGCTAATTGACAATCATTTCTCAGTACGTCATGATACTGCACCATATCTTCAGTATCTCTCCTGCAGACGTTAACAGAGAATAAGTGTTGAACAAATGGAGAGATAGCAAGTTGACTCATTTGAATAAATTGCAGAGGTTGATATTGCAAGCATTGAAATTCTGTCACCAAGTTGTTACAGAATGTAGAACAGAGCATTCCAACAATTTTAAAAATCTCTACTAATAAAAAAAATTCCAATAGAGAATTCTAGGGTGTATGGCCAATCACTTTGGTGCTTTAGTTTCGATTTTTTTTTTTTTTGATCAAGAAGATTTGTATGACCTCCTCCTTCCGGTTAGCCTAATTAATTCCAGTTCCAAAAGCTAGATCCATTGAATGTACAAAAGTACTCCAAAATGAATAACTTTGATGGTACGACAAACTTTTGGCTGGTCAAACTACCAGTTCAGTTCCCTTTTAGGATCATTCAATACCTTGATGAACTTCAAACATAGGAATTCATATTGGCAAGAGAAAACCCGAAACAACTTTTTTTTTAATAACTAAAAAGGAATCAGCAATCTAAGTTGTTATATCTATGGTCAGAATATGTCTTTCATATATATATCATTCTCTTCTCTTCTTTTTCTGAAACTGAGTCTTTCATACATATATCTCATTAATACTTCGTCTTCCGAATGTCTTTAGTAACTCAAATTTGAATTTTCAAATGGTTGACATTACTATTATAGAGAACCAGCAAAATAGTTTTTTGGTTTGGGAACTCATTGTTTTCTGATCAACCTTCAAAAAATCTGACAGATATTACCTTTTTTTTGGTGGTTTTAAACAGGGAAAATACATAAATCCCCTTCCCCCAAAGTAGTCTGTTTTCACCCATTAGAACCCTCAACTATGTGGGGGTCCTATTAAATCCCTCTTGTCCACAACACTTCTTTAACCTCCTTACAAGACAAAAACCACAATACCTGAGTAAGTGGTAGGCACGAACCACTCATAAAATAATAGATATTACCTTTTCTGGTTATTTTAAATAGGAAAAATACATAAAAATTCCCCCTCCACACACAAAACAAAAGAAGTCCGCTTTAAAAAAAAATTGTTTCTAAATCCACACCCGTATCGGACACCCAAACCCAAGTCCGAGCAACTTTAAGTAATAAGACACACACAGTTAAAAGGTTGTAATGGTTGAAAGCAGACAATTGGAGGGAGGATATTCTAAGTTATCTCCCTCTTAAATACAAATACATCATATCATGTCATTCACAGAGAAATAAACAGCAAAATAACGCATAAGAGGGGAGGGAAGCAACAACTTACTTGATCCGTTCCCATTGTACCACTAGATTCATAAGTCCTCTGCTCCCCCCCTTGCATGTTGCCCTGCTGCTCCATCGGTGGGAAATTCTGATTTCCTCCTGGCCTTGGATTGTTCCGCCCAAATGTGGGGCCATATCTCAGTGGTTGACCTCCAAAGGTTTGTTGTCCAGAACTTCCACCTTGTTGAGAGCCATAATGTTGAACTCCTCCGAAGCCTCCTTGCTCTGGAGGTGCACCACCTCTCTGGTCTCTTTGAGGAAAACAATTTCCTTGATCTCTTTGTAGATGTCTTGAATTTTGCCATTCAACCTGGGAATTATCCCATCCATCTAGGTTGCTATCAGGAGGTGCAGGACCCCTATGATCCCCAGCCCCTTGAGGCCCATAGCTCTGTTGAGGTGCAAAACTTTGCTGACGGCCATGATTCCATTGAGAAGGAACATTCTGAGGTGCACTGTAACTCTGGTTTGGCTGAGGATTCTGTGGCCGCTCATAATTCTGCTGTGGAGAAGGACCCTGTGGTTGTCTGTAGTTCTGTTGAGGTGGCGGAGCATACTGTTGTGAGCCATAGTTCTGCTGCGGTGGAGGATACCTTGGTGGGCCATAGTTCTGCTGGGGTGGAGGACCCTGCGGCGCGTCATAATTCTGCTGTGGTGGAGGACCCTGTGCTGCACCATAATTCTGCTGTGGTGGATGACCCTGTGCTGGCCCAAAGTTCTGCTGAGGAGGACTCTGAGATGGGCGATAATTGCCTTGTTGATACTGTGGGCCTCTTCGAGGCTTGCTACCTTGTCTTTGAAACTGTGGAGGAGGTGGTCTCTCAATGATTTCCCCATTATTATACTTGTCACCTGATGTTAATAGCACGATAGATGCAGGAGGAAACCACAACAAAATTCAAGTTTATAACATATAGAGCATAATCATAGTTTTGAAATGCTAATAAAAAATAACATTCAGACCTCCATATTCCTTGTTTACTGGATCAATATAGGAATCAGGCAGTACAAACACAACTCCTGGGAGACCTGATAGCAGAGACAACCTCTATATCAGACCAACAATACATTTATCATTGCTCAGAAAGAAAAATACAACATAATATACACCCACCTTCAAACTTCTTCGATGTGTCCTCTGAACACAAGACCTGAAAACCGCGGTAAGTTGTTGTGCTTAAGGCATAAATCTTTTTCTTAGCCTCTTCCACACTGCAATTAGTTAAACAATACAAAGGCCACAAAGCAACAAAGTCTTAGGTCAATGAAAGGAAGCTCACTCTTGATTCTATATCAGCTGCATATTAAGTTGTAAAAGTATAGGTGACAAGACAGAGAGATAATTTATCCTATCAGTAGATGACACAAAATCACACCACTTGGCAGTTCGCAGAAGAATATATAAGAAGAAAACATCTGGAACACGCAATAATGCTAGACTTCCATGCAAGAAATAATAGGAAAGATCCAAAGATTGCGCCAGAATCAAATATACACCAACTTAGAGCTACTATATAGTACCTATATCCACCATAAGCTTAAACTCAAAGCGTCCAAGTTCTATTTTGCATCAGAGAAATGATTTGGGGTGATACTTTTTCTGCTTTCCTAGTGAGTACATATTAACAACTGACATCAGCGCCAACTAATTATCATAGAAAACGACCAAATATATACAATATATTTGCACTTTGAAGCCAATTTTAATCTTATCAAACAGGCGAGCTCAGCTCACCAAAGAGCTTATAACTACATTCATTAATTGCAGCTTTCTTACCCACTTATATACCATGTCAGTATCTCCCTTTCCTTCTTCAATGGGAAGAACATATAAAATATCAATGCGTAGAATGTTAAAGACGGGAAATGTAATAGAAATTACCTCCCGAAGACCTTCGCAGCAGTCTGCACATAAGTCTCAATCATCTCTTCCCTCGTAAGTTGAGTATCTTTAGGAAAATCAATTACAATTAGCCAATGTTCATAATCGCATCCTTCGAAGAGGATTGTGTCGGGACCTATTTCATCATCAGCTGGGTTCCGGTCAAATGATCGAGACCTCGAGGACAGCGAAATTGTAGAAGACCTAAATAGTCTCGATTGGGACGGAAAATCAAAGCGGTTAAACTTAGACAAATTGCTTTGGGTAGACGAACTTTGGGAGAGTGATGCAATTGGAGAAATGAGATTTGGTTGATGGAATGTTTGAGCGAAAATGGAAGAGGAAAGAGGGAGAGCCCGCCGGAGACGAGAAGTATACAGCGCCATCGCCGGTGGATATGGGTGGTTGCCGACGGAGAAGAGAATGAAATGAGGAAGTTGACTCTGAACTAGGGTTTAGGGTTTTAGAATTGAATTAGGGAATAGAAAGAAAAAAGAAAAGGATAGGATTGTCATTTCGAGATTTGCCGGTTTAATTCTGGGAAAATTTGATCCTCGTTATTTTCCAGCTTTGTGTTTCTGGGCCAAAAAAAACAAATTTAAGCACAACAGAGCAAAACATTACTAGCCCAAAATTAAGGCCCAGTTTAGCCCAATAAGTTTTCTTTTCTCTTCAATCAAGCATAGTTAAATTTTGGGAAAATTGTATAAAATAGCAAACTATTAATTCAAATTAAATGTTATAATCATAGTTTCATTTAATTGTAATACGTAGCAAACACTTGTCATTTGCCTCTCTCCCCAGCGAATCTCGCTCGCCACTCTCCCTAGTCAGTTTCACTTTATACAAACACAAATGTATAAATTGCATTTGTGTTTGTATATACAAATATAAATACAAATATATATATTTTCGTCATATACACTTATTATTATACAAATACAGACCCTCCCCTACCAGTTCTCTTTTGTCTTTCTCGCTTTATGTATAAAATAGCAAACTATTAATTCAAATTAAATGTTATAATCATAGTTTCATTTAATTGTAATACGTAGCAAACACTTGTCATTTGCCTCTCTCCCCAGCGAATCTCGCTCGCCACTCTCCCTAGTCAGTTTCACTTTATACAAACACAAATGTATAAATTGCATTTGTGTTTGTATATACAAATATAAATACAAATATATATATTTTCGTCATATACACTTATTATTATACAAATACAGACCCTCCCCTACCAGTTCTCTTTTGTCTTTCTCGCTTTATACAAACACAAATTATACAAATTACAATGTATAATCTGTGTTGTATAAAGCGAGAGAGAGATTTGATATACAAATGTTTTATTTTGATTCAATTGCATACCAATTCAAATTTTATGCAGATATACAAATACAATCATTGATACATATACATGATAGTTACATATACAATTATCTAACCGATATACATATAAATCGCTGCGCTTTTATACAAACGAAAGGCCTTCCACCGATTTATACAAATATGATGCTCCATAGCAAACATAAAATTTGTTATATAGCATACAAATATGATTTTTATGTTTGCTAAACCTAAAATTTACTCATTTGAAAATAAGGCTGTCTTAACAAGATTTTCTTTATATCCAGTTATGAATCGGACATCTCTAATTAAGGTAGAGCAATTTCATCACTGGACCATTATTCATGTTCGATTAGTGCAAAGTTGTAATGCAAATAACAGTTGTTTATATATTAGTGATTTCTCTATTTTTGTTTGTTTATCTAATTTTAACTTGATACAAAATTTAAGAAAATAAAAAGAACTTTTGATTATGTTTAATTTTGAAGTAAAGATATGTAAATGTATCAAAATGTCATTTAATTTTATTGACTTAAATATGTTATGTGAAAAAATGAATTACTGAAAGTTGCCAACAAAAAAAGAAGATATTATCTTTTAAACGGACTAAAAATATAAACAAGTAGGACAAAATTACTGGAGAATTAGTTTCTCTGCTCCTGACATCCCGAAGACATATAATCGTGTTTAACTAATTAATTAAGTGTATGCACATTACTTGAATATCTACCTTCCAAAGAGCATTTTATCGTTTTTAAATTAATTAATTAGTTGTGTCCTTATAAATTAATTAATAATTATATAATTAGTTGTGTCCTTATAAACGAGTATTTTATTGCTTGTATAATCTGGCCACTACTTGCTACTATTAAAAAGTTTTATCCATATAGATTCGCACTTTATTTGTAAAATAATTTTATGACCTCGGTATTTGTGGACCAATTTAAAATTTAGACGTTGATTTTCAGTTTTATAAATTAGGTTAATTACTAAATGTACATTTAATTCTATCTATAGACTATACTTATTTTTTGCACGGACATACATAGGATTAGCCCTAAAGTATTACTCCTACGGCACCCGCAAATCTATTGTTAGATCTTTTTATTGTTTTTTATTTGAAAATTAGAAAAATAACAGAGAAAAAAATGTTTCAGTTGAACCTTAATTCTTCTTTTGATCAATCAAGATCATTTAAGCCCTTTGAGGTAATCGCCTATAAATTTAAATTCCCCTCACGTGGAGGGAAGAGAAAGTAGACTGCACAACCTATATCTTTCTCAAAAGCGAAGCAATAGTCTCACTAACGTTTGAATTGTAGATGAGAACACAAATATGATACGATCGATCATGTCGTTTTCTTCGTTGTTTATCAAGTTAAACAAATTATGAGCTTTTCAAATTGGATGAAGACATCATAACCAACAGGGCGGAGCCACCCTTTACCATGGGCTATCAAGCAACACCTCTTCATCAGAAAGTTACAATCAAATTTTGGTTTAATAAATATATTTAGACACCTCTTTATACAAGTTAAAAGTTTGATCTAGTGCTTAAAGGGTCATAAAAATTTCTCTAGATCACGTGTTTAAACCCTATTAGCTTCAAATTAATTATTTTTTACTATGATCATTGACACCAATGTGAAATTTGCAAGTTGGTCATTGTAGCCAGATTTACAATTTTTGTAGATATATATATACTAGGATTCTTTTTTAAAGAAACTTTCCAAAGCAACTATGTCATCCTGTCCCCTAGCTAGACTTTTCCAAAAAAAAAAAAAAAGTATTTCACACGCACAATATAATCTCCACTTGGCTATTCAATTCAAACAGAAAATCAGTCAATTACAACTGGATTACAGTTCAGTTCCAATTTAATCGATATAATTAAAATAGTGACCCTAGTTCTGGTTGAATAAAATACGTATCAATTCACTTGGAGTAAATGATCAAACAAGTAAATAACTAAATATTGTATACTACTAGTCATCATTAGTCAAACTAGCTAGATTGAGTTCTTTTGAATAAAAACTGTCCTCAACGTAACTATTTTCTACTTATATAAATTATAGTAATAATGTATTTTATACGGTTGTCTTCTCTTGTACATTAATTAATCACGTAGAGTCCATGAACTGACGTGCTATTCAATAAGAGACGAAATATAATATTTTTTTAGATAGGAATGTATAGCTAGTGTTATATAAGTTATTAATTTACGAACCCTTATTTTCAGCAAATACATGGGATGGTTAGCCTGTAACATTAATGCCACGTAAAACCGTTGACTTTTATAGAAATATCTAATCACATATTATCATCATACTTTTTTGTTGTTATTATTTTTTCGTTTGCTAATTTTATTAATGTTATAAAGTATGATTCCAAATTAATAAATTTTTAATCCCAACGTAACTGTCGGTTGTATGTATAAAAAATATTGCACTCATTAAACATACGTCTCGGATGTCCCAGCACCAAAACAGCAATATTGTTTGACCCATCACATTCAGTAATAGCAATTAACAAATATACTGTAAAATTAAAATTTATAAATAAAATAAAAAAGGAGTAAATATAATGTACATATTGATATGGGTAGAAATGTTTTGGTCGTTAATAGTTAAATGTACATGTATAATTTAAGTACTTGATAGTATAATATACACATTAATAGGAAATAATATTTCATTTTTTTTCCTATGGTGAAGCAGTATATATTCATTCTTGATCAATCATATTATTACTATATAGAAGAGTGAAGCCGACCGGACGACCAAGGCTATTTTGGTAATTTTCCGTTATATCCAATTTGTCACGAAATGGCAGGAGGAACAAAATGTTGGTTATTTCGAAATTTGTGTGAAAAGTTGAGGGTGATTGGGTAATTTCAATAATTTCTTGTACCCAAATTACCCTCAAAAGTAAAACCACTTTTCAGTCCACACTTTCCAAGAGGTGGCTGACCATCGGCTCCACTTATATTGTGCCACGTAGAAAGTGTTGGGTCCCATTTCAGAAAATGATTTTTTCTCTCTTCTTAAATGTTTTTTTCCCTCTTTCCTACTTTTTTACTTCTTTTTGTTTGACTTTTCTTTTCAAATTAATGTTTCAAATTTCTCTACTTCCATACTTATATAATTTTATTCATGGAAAATATAAAAATATGAAATCCAAAAAGAAA